TTACAAAAGCAGGCGGCCCTGCCCCTCCACAACCTGCTTCAGTTCCACACCACCCCCTGTAAAGCTCCCTATGCAAATAAAGGACCTCCCCACCAGTTCCAAAGGTCCCAGGACTGACTCTCATTGGCTGGAACTGAGTCACATGTCCACCCCTCAACCAACGCCTGTGGCCAGAAGGGTGGCATACTCTGATTGGTAGGACCCGGTCAAGCACTCCTCTTTGAACCAATCACAGCAGGCGGGGGGGGGGGGGGGCGGAATGCTCTCACTGGCCAGAACAGTCTCGTGCTCAGCTTGGGGCTGAGGCTTAGTCCCCCCAGCCTCAGCCAGGAGCACAAGGTGTGCAATGCTTCCCAAGAGGAGCACCCTCGGCCCTTCAGGCCGGACATTCGTTTGTTGTGCGGGGCCCTCTCACACACCGCAGAACCTGTGTCCTCCCTGAGCGTGCCCAGCAGCACCCCCATCCCAAGATATTGCAATAATCAAAAAACCCCCAGAAATTTCCAGCTGCCCCATGGGAGGAGGCGATAGGAGGAGGTTGCTTGCGTCGCCTCCACTCCCTTCCAGGGATTTAGAGACCGGGGGGCACTGGGAGATGGAGGCTCCAGCTGGCGGTCGGTGTGTACAGCTGAGCCTGTCGCTGTCCCTGCGGTGAGAGAGGGCGGCGAGGAGTCCGTCCCGGGTGGGAGCCGCGGGGCACCGTTCTCTCCGCTCCCCCGCCCGCCGCCTTTGACCGCTACCGTGTTCTCGCCCCAGTTGCCATCTACCTTGGGATCAAACGGAAACCGCCCCCCGGCTACTCCGATTCCCCTGGAGTGTGAAGCTGACCAGCTCGCGCCCGCCCGAGGCCCTGATGGCGGCCCTGCGCCAGGCCACCGCGGCCGCCCGCTGCCGCTGCCGCCAGCCACAGCCGTTCCTGCTGGCCTGCCTGCACGGGGGTGCGGGCGGGCCCGAGCCCCTGTCCCACTTCGAAGTGGAGGTCTGCCAGCTGCCCCGGCCCGGTCTGCGGGGAGTTCTGTTCCGCCGCGTGGCCGGCACCGCCCTGGCCTTCCGCACCCTCGTCACCCGCATCTCCAACGACCTCGAGCTCTGAGCCACCACGGCCCGGGTCCCCTCCCCTTCCTCCCCCTCGTCCCCTTCACCTCTGCCACCCGGGGGAGAGGGGTCAGGGAGGGGAGTCTCCCCTCTGTCATCACCTCGGTTCCCGCGAATTCGATGTGGGGACAGAGATGGTCCGCCCAGGGGCCCAATCTCCATGGGCCGCCCGGCATGGGAGAAGCGGGAGGGGGCTGAGCAGGGGGAGCTGGCACCTTCCTGGAGCCTCCAGCTGGTCCTGTCCCCCCTCCCCCTGCGGGGAGGGGCACCCGAAAAGACTTTGGGGGCTGGGCAGGGGCAGAAAGGGAAACTGAGGAACCTCTTCCATCCCGCCCCATCCCCCCACCCCAAGCAGCTCAAGAATTAGGCCTTGGGCAGGGGTAGGAAAGGTTGCTGAGCCTAAAGACTGGAGAATGGAGGGGGGGGCTGGAATTGGGGGGGGTCAGAGAGGCAGATTCCTTCCCCTCCCCACCCCTCCCCTCACGCTGGAACCCCCCCCTTCCTGCCCCAGGCTGGCGCGGGGCACTTTGTACAAACCTTGTAAATACCCCCACCCCCTCCCCTCTGCAGAGATCTCACGAGGAGCTGCCGCTGTCACCTCCGGTTTTTAAGTTATTACACCCGCCCCCCTCCTGTCAGCCCCCTCACCTGCAGCCTGTCGCCCAATAAACTTAGGAGAGTCCCCCTCCCCCACGCTGACCCCAGGCTGTTCCTTCCCTGCCCTCACCTGCGAGTGAGACGAGGAGGAGGCAGTGTGTGACTTTGGGCCAGTGGTTCCTCCTTTCTGAGCCTCAATTTTCTCAGCTGCAGAATGGGCCTAGTGGGGGTGTGAGGGTCAAGGATGATGATGGTGGAGGGCAGGACAGAACTCGGCCTCATCCACGAGGCCCCCAGTTCCTATATCGGTCCCCCATTCATTCACTCACATGCCCACCCACATGTTATAGCGGACTCTAAGCCACTTCTTACACCAGTAGTACATTTATTCAATAAACAGTCATTGACCTGTGCCTACTCCATGCCAGGCCCGGTGCTGGACACGGAGACACAAGGAGCCCCTGTCTGTGGGGGATGTGGGTTCTGACACAAAACACTGGAGAGACTGTTGCACTGGGGAGTCCAGAAGAGAACAGGAGGGGAGTTGGGGAAATGATGCTGGAGTTGGGCTTTGAAGGATGAGTAGGAGTTGACCGTGTGTTGGGTATGCCCTGGGCAAAAGCCTGGAAGTCAGAGTGCATGACAGACCTTCAGAAAACTGTGGGTAATTTCGATGTGGGTGCAGTGTGGGGGCTGGTGGAGAATTAGCAAGAGAAATGCTGTATTAGGACTAATAATCCATCTACACTTAAGCAAAAAGGTTATTTGGCTTATGTTCCTTAATAGTGTGGCGGTGCCTGACTTCAGGTAAGGCTGAATCTGGGTAGCCGGCCATCTCCTCTTGGCTTTTTTTAGTGTGAATTTAGCAGTTTAATAGTTTCACCCCAGAGTTTCACCTGGCGCTCCCTGATGGCAGAAATGACCCCAGCAGTTGCAACCTATCGTCCCTTTGCCTAATTCCCACCCCAGTAAGTTCCTCATTGCGAACTTTTGGCAAAAGTCCCAAGATGGACTCTTATTGGCCCAGAGAACACATGACTGTCCCCGAACCAGTCAGTGTTGCTCTGGAGCCACCAGCTCCCTACCTAGAGCTGGGCTTAGAGGGAAGAGGAAAGCCAAGGGTCCTTAGCCAGAGGAAGGGAATAGAAGCTCAATAAAGCTGAGCAGTAGAGGGCGGGGCTTGTACACACAGGGCCTCGGAGGTCAAAGCAAGCTGGGCTTCATCCAAGGGCACTTAAGAGCCATGGAGGGTTGTATGTGTGGAGGAGGCTTAGTCTGCTGTGCCTCAGTTGCCCACTTGGGGCATGGTAGGGTCAATCCTTGTCTTCTGTTCTTGGGACTTCATAGGAAAGTCGAGTGAGAAATGAAGGGTGGTAGAGACTGAGTGGTCAGTGTTGAAAAATTCAGGGTTTGGGGCAGAACTGCATTCCTGTCTTATGAGAGGCCAGAACAGGGATCTGCTGAAAAGTGTTTATTGATTCGGAGGTTGGGGAGTGGGAAACAACCAACTCCGTCTGGAAATTTCAATCCTTGCCCGGGGGGGGGGGGGTGTTCCTGTGTGCCCAGCCCTGTGCTGGGGATGTAGTGACCAAGGCAGCCCCAGCCCTGCCCTCGTGAGGCTCAGTCCAGTGGAGGAGGCAGCTGCATCAGTGATCAGGCTGGGGTGGGAGGGAGGCAGGGCAGAGGCTGGGGATAGGCCAAGGGGGTGTCTGTCCCAGCCAGGGAGGGCTTCCTGGAAGAGGAACAGCCCAGCTGCACCTGGGAGAGCTAAACACGGCGGGGAGGGGGTTGGTGTTCTAGGCAGATGGAACAGCTTGTACAATGGCCGAGAGGCAGGGGAACGACAGTACAGCAAATGGCATATAATTTGCAGTGAGTGGAGTCACTGGGAGAGAAGAGGCTGGAGATGTTGGCAGGAGCCTGAAGGACATGGAGAGGGGCCCGGGCTTTCTTCCAAGGACACCGGGGAGTCCTGGCGAGGTTGTGAGGCAGGGACAGGTTTATGCTGCAAAGGGAGGGAAGGAGACTGGTCAGGAGAGTAGGGAGGAGGTCAAATGGATAGAAGGTGGGGAGAGAAGGGGTGCACTTACGCCTGATGAGTAAAGATAAGCAGGACAGGCACGGTCGCTGCAGGTGCCTGCACTGCAGGTTAGGCTCAGAGGTCCCACTGGCGTGCTTGCCGGTGTGGCCTCAGAGGCGGGGTAGGAGGTGGAGCGAGGGCTGGTGATGGGATCTTCATTTAGGAACCGTATTGTAAAGGACACCATGACATCCGACAGGTCTTGTCTTTCTCTTGTAGCCTTCCTGTTCCATTAATCTCTAGGAACTCTCAGGGACATCCCCTGGCCTGTTTCCCCCTCTACAACAGAGTACATTTCTTGATTTCTAAGAGCCCTTTCGCGGTGTGACTTCAGGTTTGAAAAAGTCCCTCTTCCAGGTCCCTGGGGCTCTGTCTTCCACTTACTCTGCCTCACATTTCCTTCTGAAACTTTTGTCTGTTTTTGAGGCCACCACGCTGCCGTTGCTGATGGAGGCCTCAGCATATTGGGTCGAGTAGAGGTGACTGATGTGTCCAAAACCCGGAACGTGTTCAGATGTCTCCTGATTTCTATTACCTGCCCCTCCCACCGCCCCACCCCCCCTTCCTGGGACTCCCCAAAAAGTAGATCTCTCAAGATGTCATGGGGATGCTGTGAGCCAAGCCCTAGTCCGAAGGAGGAAAGAGCATGGGCAAAGATGTTAAGGTGGGAATTGCAGGGTGTAAGGAGCAGGAGTGTATAGAAGAATAACGGGGAAAGAACGGGAAAGATGAGCCTTCAGTGAATAGTGCACATCTGAGTCTGATCTTGAAGAATCGCAAATAATAGGAGTGCCTTCTAGGAGGTGAGGGAAACTATGGGAGGTTCTTGAGCACAGAAGGGGAAATTTAGAGGAGTGGTAACAGCTGTAGAGGGATGAAGTGAGATCACACAGGAGGCCAGTGAAAAATACAACGAAGTGTATATGATGAGATGCACGGTAGGTATCAAACTGGAGACCCGCGGGCCAAGTTCACGTCTCAGGCATTTTGTTTGGCTTACGTTTCCCCATCGTGCGGACCCTGTGCTTGAGATCTGAGCATGCGTGATTAGGAGCTGAGGTTGGAAGGGGCCACACGTCCCTGGGTCTCGGATTCCTCTAGAACCTTAGAAGTTTTGCATTAGACTGGACACTAAACTTTGCCAGGGAGGGCAAGCCACTTCGAGGTCACACAGCAGCTGAGGGCAAACGTCCCTCCTCCTCTTGCTCAGTAACTGTCGCACAAGAGCTAGGGCCACCATTGCTTTTATTTGTTGCTTTGGGTGTAGAAAAAGCATGAGCTCCAGATGTGTTGGAGAGCTCTCCGCGACCCCGAGCTCCTGGTGGTGGCCGGAGCTCCGGGGAAAGGAGAGGAAGGTGTGAGGGAGGTTTTACATTGGCCAAACAGAACTCAGAGGCCGAAGCCCATTGGTCGGAACTCTGGTTGGACCTGGAATTCCGAGAGGGATGGAAAGAGCCCCCAGGTGGCCCACCCCCCCTGTGGGCGGAGCTGCGGGGAAAGGGGCGGGCCTCTGAGGGGCCGAGTCCTCCCATTGGCTGGGGCTCCAGCAGGCGGCGGCGGGCGGGCTGGACGCCTATTTCTGGGCGGGGATCATGTCGTCGATGGACTGGCCTTTTTCCAGCTTCTTCTCCATCTCCACCATGAGCTTCACACCGTCCACCACCAGCTGCACCTGTTCTACTTCGGATGAGCCCAGTCGATCGGCGTTGGATACGTCGAACACTGAGCCCACAGCAGCTGTGTCCACACCACCTGCAGGAGCAGGGGGCAGGGGCATGAGGAGGGAGCAGAGATGCGGAAGCAGGGCCCAGGATGCTGCCCCCGTGCCAGCTGAGACGGCCGCACGCACTGAGTGCCTACGGTGTGACAGGTTACGGCATTCAGAGTCTCCTAAATGGCTATTCATAGGTTCACATCTCAGGCTAATTTAGGTACCTCACACCTCAACCATTCAACATGAAAATACAGCGTGGTGGCTGTGAGTGAGCTCTGGGGCCAGGCTGCCTGGGGTTGAATCCTGACCATCCTCTCCTTTACAGATGGGAGACCGAGGTCCCTAGGGGCAGGGGACAGACACAATATATATCATATAGCCATGATATCCTATCGAGTCCTATGAGAGAAAGCGTGCTGACACCCATTTACAGAGGAAGAAACTGAGGCTCACAGAGGACTAGCCCGCGTCCACCCCAGAACTCGCGTGGATGCTCCGCCTCCCCTTCCGCCGCCGCAAAGGGCCCGCCCCCCCCGCCCCCCCCCCCCGCCCCGACGCAGCGGTGCGCGGATGCAGAGCCGCACCTGTGCCCCGTTTCTGCAGGCGCAGACGGGTGAGGATCTCCTCGAACTTGGGGTGCTTGCTCAGGTGCGCCAGCTTGACGTGCACACCTCCACGCAGCCCGGTGCCCAGGTTGGATGGGCAGGTGAGCACGTAGCCCAGGTGCTCGTTCCACATGAAGGGGTGTCCGGCCTTCTTGAAGATCTCCTCAATCTGAGGTAAGAGGAGAGGACCTGGGGTCAGCGCCAGCGGGGGTCCCCAAATACTCCCGCAACCCGACGGGATTAGGAGCGACACGACGTGAGGACGTGGATAGTGGGGGGAATTCCGAGACGGCGGGGCTGCAAAACCGCCCGGGATGAGCTTCTGAAGGGACGGCCTGGACGGCGGGGACCACCCGGGCGCCGCGGGATGCTGGCGGGGCGGGGCTTGAGGTCATCTTGGGGGCGGGGCTTGGGTGGAGGGTGGAGCCGGGTTGCCCCGGGGGGCGGGGCGTTCAGGGGGAGTCAGGGGCCGGCCCCGAGGGGCCCGCTACCCACCTTCTGCAGCCCCACGCAGAAGCGGCGGAAGACCTCCTTCATGTTGCCCCCCTTCTGCATGGAGATGACTCGGAGGTGGTCCTCCTCATTCACCCACACCAGGAAGGTCTTGTTGTCATTGTGCCTAGGGTGGGGCGCAGGAAGAGGCCACCCATCAGCTCCGCGTGGCAACCCCATTCCTGGCCTCTCGCAAACACACCCACCGCTAGGGGGCAGCGGGCCTGAGGAGAGCGAGGTGGTGGCATGGGCACCTCAAAATCTCAGAAACTCTACCCCTGGAGACCCTAAGGGCACAGGATCTGAGAAATCGCCAATCTTAGGATCAAGGACTCTCAGGGTCCTAGATTTTTGGATAGCATTACATTACAGACTATTAGAATCTCAGAATCTTTGAAAAACAGAAGCTGGGAATCAGAATTGATAAGTCTTGGAAACCCTACATCCAGTCTCAAGACCAATCTTCCCATCACCTTGCGACATCTCAGAAACAGAATCCTAGAACCATAAACCATTAAGATGTGGAAAGGTCTGAAACCATGGAATCACAGAATCTGGAACTAGTGGAATCCGAGAACCTAAAAATACTCAAAATCTTGGAAACTTAGAATCATCCCATCTGTATATCTTAGAACTCACACTCTCCAAATCATCTGAAACCTAAGTTTTGAAAAACCGTTGAAAATCTTTGACTATTGGAATCAGAGATTCAAAGGTTCATAGAAACCTAACTAGCAACAATAAAAGATAAAACTAATAGCCAAGATGTTGGGCACTTACTATATACCAGACACTATTTTCAATTACTGTGCTCTCCATTTTACAGATAGGGAAACCAGGACAGAGAAATGTTAAATATTGTGCCCAAGGTCACAAGGGGTGGAAGGTGAGGTCATTTTTCTAGGGCATCTGGAAACATGATTGTTTTTATGGCGTTGGCTTTGGTGGAGGAACAGGGAGGGTAGTGGGGTGGGGACCTCACCAGATGCCACGGGCGTCGGGCCAGTCTCGGGCCATGCCTGAGGCCAGCAGCAGTGGGGACACGGGCTTGTCGAACAGGAAGTGATCGTCGATGAGCTGCTGCTGCTCCTGCTCGGTCATGCTCTTCAGAGGGTAGTATTTCCCCTTGAACTCGCCTGTCAGGCTGTTGAGGGCTGAGGGGCCATATAAGGCAGTGGTCAGCAACCTGCCCCACCACAACCTGGGTGTGGAGGCCTGGGGACCCCAACCTGCTGCCCACACAAGCCTGGGGCATGCTCCCGTGGATGCCCTAATGGCTCCTGAACACTAGGATGAAACCCAAATTTGCGACCTCTCCCAGGCTTTGGGAGCAGCCAAGCCATGTGCTCAGCCAGGAAACATGGATTTGCCCTTTCCCTGACCTTCACATCCTCTCCACCTATGACCAGCAGTGTGCTGGAGCCCCTCCGACTGGCTGGAAGACAGACAATCAAAATCTTAGGATTTTGGGGAGCCAACAGGAAAAACTATTATAAAATAGCATTTCTAGTATGTAGCATATATCATATATCCATATGTAGAATAAATGTTTACTATGTATATATGCACAATATACAATATGTATTTATATACATGTTATACATCTTAATATAGTGTAGTATATAATGTTATGTATCACATATTATATACTATATTTTTAAAGATAATTTATTGGGGCACCTAGGTAGCTCAGTGGTTGAGCATCTGCCTTTGGCTTAGGTCATGATCCCAGGGTCCTGGGATCGAGTTCTGCATCGGGCTCCCCGCAGGGAGCCTGCTTCTCCCTCTGCCTGTGTCTGTGCCTTTCTCTCTGTGTCTCTCATGAATAAATAAATAAAATCTTAAAAAATAAAGTACAATAAAAATAATTTATCTGGGGCCGCTTGGCTGGCTCAGTCAGTAGAGCATGTGACTCCCAATGTTGGGCATGGAGCCTACTTTAAAAAATTATATAAACTTACAATAAAATAAATTATTTTATAAACACAGGTAATAAGGGGTGCCTGGGTGACTCAGTTGGTTAAGCATCCAACTCTTGATTTCAGCTCAGGTTGATCTCAGAGTTGTGAGATCAAGCCCCCAAGTCAGGTTCGCACTGGGAGTGAAGCCTGTTTAAGATTCTCTCTCTCCAAAAAAAAAAAAAAAAAAAAAAAAAAAGGCAGCCTGGGTGGCTTAGCGGTTTGGTGCCGCCTTCGGCCCAGGGTGTGATCCTGTAGACCAGGGATCGAGTCCCACGTTGGGCTCCCTGCATGGAGCCTGCTTCTTCCTCTGCCTGTGTCTCTGCCTCTCTCTCTCTCTCAATCTGTGTCTCATTAATAAATAAAGTCTTTAAAAAAAAAAAGATTCTCTCTCTTCCTCTGTCCATTTTCTCTATCTCTCTTTCTCTTTCTCTCTCTCAAAAATAAATAAATAAAAATAAAACATAAAGTCAAAACTGCCACAGGTTATAAATATCCAAAATTATCACTTCCTAATTATTTTACTACATCTTTATTATCTATGTTCTTGAAGCTTTTTTCATCTCCATCCCTTTGGTTGGAATAGTATGTAATGATGTGTATCTTTTCCCATCTCTCTATGATATCATGTTCATAGTTTAAAATTGGCTGTGGCAGGAGAATTTATACCATGGAAACTGGCAGTCGCTACAAACTGGGGCTTTTTTTTTCTTCTTAAGAGCTGGTTGTTAGACATTTACTAGAACAAACATGCTTGTGAGTCCTGATGATCCTACCTCCCAAACCGCTCGTTCTCTCCATCCCTTTGCCTATCCCTCACCCCACGCCTGCACCATTGTGGTTGCCCCTTACAGCCTCTCTGCTCCTACCTTTGCCCACAGTCTGTTCCCTACTCAACAGCCAGGAAACTGCCCATGTAAGTCTGAACTTACTCCGATCACCATCCTCCCATGGCTTCCATCTGTTCAGAGTCAAAGCCAAAGCCCCCCTGATGGCCCACAAGGCTCTGCACAAGCAGGCCACCCATACTCCTCTGACTGCATCTCCTCCCCTGGTCCACTCAGCTCTGGCCACAACTGGTCTCCTTGCTCTTCCTCCAACACACTTCCCCACCTCAGGACCTTTGCGCTTGCTGCTCCACCTGCCTGGAAATCTTCAGGCTCCTTTTTGTCAATCAACTCCTCCTTTCTCAGGGAGCTCCCCCCCAGTCATTCTATGATGCACCCTTGTTTCTCGGCTACATGGCATTTTGGAATTAATCATTCTTTTGTTGGTTTCTGTGTTTCCTCTTATCTCCCCACCAGGCTGACCACTCTGTGAAAAAAGTGACCTTGTCCATCTTATTCATCATGGGAGCCCCGGCCCCCTACTCAGGACCATGACAACCGTAAATGTTGGCTAGCTGGCTGGCTGCTTGGATGGATGGATGGATGGATGGATGGATGGATGGATGGATGGAGGTCAGGACCCTGGTGCAATTGAATGTCTGCATGGATCTGCTCAGGGTGCCTTGACAGCGCCCCCAGACTTCCAGCAGGGGTAATGTCAGCTGTCACTCATCAAGCACCCACGATTTACCCAGTGGTGGGCAGGGTGGGGTTCTCACCTTCTATGGAGAGTTTCTCCACTGCCCGGCGCTCGCCCCGGGAGCAGTGGGGGGGCAGTGTGTAGCCCTTGATGCTACGGCCCGTGCGGACGCGGCTGCTGAGCACATAGTTGGGGTCCAGGTCGTCTCCACCCTGGAGGGCAGGAGGGGGGTCAGGACTGGGCACGGCCCCCCCAAGCCGCCCCTCCACTGCAAGCTCATGTCCTCCCTGGCCCCCCCACCCAGGGCTCACAGTTCTGACTCTGCTACTTCCTTCGGCTCCTTCTTGCCCACTGGCTTCTCCCACCGCCACACTAGCTCGGCCTCTCCCTTCTCGGCCTCTCCCCTCCCTGTTTCTCCCAGCCTCTCATCTGCCCCTTTCCTCCATACATCTCTTATCCCATTTTTGTCCCGGGTCTGGTTTCTCTTCATCTCTTCCCTGTCTCTCTTCCCATCTGAGTCTCCCCCTCTGTGTCCTGGTCTCCCTGTCTGTCCTGCATGCCTCTCTGTCCCTCCTGCCCTCCATCTCTGCCTCTTGGAGCATCCCTTCCCACCTCCGTCATCCTCCCTCTCTTCTCCATCCCTCCCCTCCCCTGCGGGCAGCTGACCTTGAGGTTCTCATGGTTGAGGTCAGTCTTGTGCTTGTCGGTGGGTTTGTAACCCCCGTGCCGGTCCTGGATGATGGGGTCGAAGAGATCCTTGAACACCTGGTAGGACTCCTCGTCACCGGCCACACAGCCCACGGTCATGATGAAAGGGTGACCTGGGGGTTTGGGGTAAGGTCAGAGGCGCTTGTGCCCAGCAAGGAAGACCCAGGCTCCTTGATCCTATAGAAACTGTATGTGCACGTGCACACATGTGTGAGTACGTGTGTGTGTGCATGTGTGGTCAGCAGGGGTTTATTCGAGACCTGAGTCGGAGCTGCAGAGACTGAGGGTTGTGAGGATGGGGAGGTGGCATCTGGGCAAAGGAGAAAGAGTCTCGGGGGGTCAGTTACAAGGTCCTAAAAATATTACTATTTGAGAGCCCCCAGATCACAGACTCTTTCTTCCCTGAAAAATTTTCGAAATATATTAGATTCTCAGCTCCCACAGATCCTAAGAGGCTTGAAAGATCCTCATCTTCACAGATGGGGAAACAGAGTCCCCGGCAGGCAGCCCCGCCCGCCCATCCAAGCCCCTGTCCGTGCTCCACCAAGGAGGCTTACCTGGGTTGTCCACACCTGTCTGGATGACATCGTCCAGAGTAAAGCCGGATGGGGTCTCTTTGTCCCGCAGCTTCTTATAGATTTCAGGGGTCAGCGCTTTGGCCATATGGTTGTTGTGCTTGGTGAGGTCAGGGTACTCCTCCTCAGGCTTATAGTTCAGCTTGAACTTGTTGTGGGTGTTACCGAACGGCATGGTGGCGGCGTGGGGGGGCCTGGGGAGTAGGGTGGGGGGTGAAGAAGGTTATCCCGCATCCAGCAGAGACCAGCAAGGACAAGGCGTTGGGGTCAGAAAGACCTGATGGCCAGTCCTTTTTTTTTTAATATTTTTTAGAAGATTTTATTTATTTATTCATGAGAGACAGAGAGAGAGAGAGAGAGAGAGAGAGAGAGAGAGAGAGAGGCAGAGGCACAGGCAGAGAGAGAAGCAAGCTCCATGCAGGGAACCCGACATGGGACTCGATCCCGGGACTCCAGGATCAGGCCCTGGGCCGAAGGCAGCACTAAACCGCTGAGCCACTGCCCTGATGGCCAGTCCTGACTCATGTGCTGTGTGACTTGGAACAAGAATGGGCCCCTCTCTGAGCCCCTGTGTCCTGACAGGATGCATCAGGACTCTGTGGTTAACATCCCAGCTCTGCTACACCCTGATGGGTGACCCCAGACGAGTCACCTTGCTAGGGACAGCTTCTCCAGCTGAAAGATGAAGGGGGAAGCCTTTGGGATGGAGCAGTAATATTGGCATGGATAAGAGTGTAGATTCTGGAATCAGATAGCCTGGGTTTGAATTCCAGCTCTGTCACATACAGTAAGCTGTGTGACCTTGGGCACCTTGCTTAACCTCTCTGTGCCTCAGATTACTCATATTACAAAGGGGGTCATAGTAACCCTCATCTCTGGGGGGGCTTCAAGGAGTTCATGTATGTAAAGCGCTTGGAATAGTGCTGGCACACGATAAGCTGTATTTTGCTTAGCTATTATTATAATTTTTGTTGCTATTACTTTAAAAGTCTGGGTAAGGAGCTGGGGAGAAGGTGGAGGGTGTTGCTGGGAACATATGTGCAAGCAGGGAAGGGACACTCTCTCCACGAAGGGTCCCGGGTGCTCGGTCAAGGGATAAGGGGGAGGGTGGAAGGGAAGGCTGCGTGGCCGTCCCCACCTCTGTTTGCTGACCGCTCTCCTGCAGGGCTCAGTTGAGAAGAAAAGCCCAGCAGCTGAAGTCAGCAGAGCTGGGTTCAAATCCTGCCTCTGCCATTTCCCCTGCTGTGTGACCCCAAGCCAGGTGCTCAGCCTCTCTGAGCCTCTGTCGCCTGTGAACTGAGCCTGGCCTAAGGGGTTGCCAAGAAGATTCTTCTGGCTCGGGCACGTGGCCGGCTGAGCACGTGCCCTCACATGGAGTTGGGGCCTGCTCCGTAGAGGGGTGGCTGTCGTTACTGGACCCAGGAAGGAGGTGGTGGTGGTCAGCGTGGGAGCTCACTCCGCGGCCCCAGGGATGGGAAGCAGGTAGGACGGTGAGAAGGGAATCGGGACCAGGCGAGCTGAAGGCTGAGGCATCAGGCCAGGGGCGGATGGAATTCACGAAAGATCCTTGGAGCTACTATCCAGGGTTGGGGATTATTTATAGAATCTGGCAGACTGCTCCTCCCCCACCAACCCCCCCACATTCCAGGGGCTCCACTTGCACCAAGTCAGCAGGCCGGAGACAGGTGGGCCAGGGTGGCCAGGAGGACATGCATCCAGGCCTCGGGGCTCCAGGGCTTCCAGCCCAGAACCGCCCCCCACTTCAGGGTGTCCCACCCCACCCTGCGAGGAACACGTTAGCAGAGGGCATTGAGGCAAGGGGGGGGAGCCCCAGAGCCACACACACCCACACACACATCCCCATAACCCCCAGATCACACAGTAAACAGAGTCACACACACATCCCTCCAAGCTCAGGGACACACCCAGCATACAGGCACCCGTGCAGGAGCTACAGAAAGTCAGACACAAGGTCACACCATTGTGGGACGCAACAGGGACCCACAGAATTGCAAGTGCAATTAACCCACAGTGCTTGCTCTTGCAAACCACGACAGTTGACATACAGACACCTCCCACGGCTTGTGGCGCCCAGTTCTGGTGACAAACCATCATGAACACGGGCCCAGCCTGTAGCCCCTTGCAGGGGGGACAGCTGGCAGCTGTCAGGACTCCTTTTGTCTCCAAGATCCCTTCCCGTGACCCTGTGCCACAGACCCTGTGGGAGGCAGGGGGGCTCACAGGTGGAGGGAACTCCCAGACACGGGGTCAACCTTCCCACACACTGACCCTCCTCTGTATAGGAGGATATGGGGTAGGCTCCTGAGACCAGATCGGCTGCTGGTGCCATGCACCCCCCCACACTTTGGCCCGGTCTGGACCCCACCCTGATTCCCACCCGCATCAGTACCTGGCTGGGCTGTGCAGAAAGGGGCTGTCTGTATCCTGGAGGTGACACTGACCCAAAGGAAGGGCCCGCAGCCCAGGCCTTATATAGGGGGGCCGGGCTGTGCTATTGGCTGGGAGGGACTGCCCCCAGGGAAAGGAGCTGGAGGGCAGGCAGCTGAGCCTCCCAGCTCACTGCCCGGGCACGGTGCCCACCCTGAACCCAGGCACGCCTTGCGCCCAGCCCTATCGGGCCTTGTATGGGCCGCCCCAGGGGCTGAGCCCAGATCCCCGCCCACCCCCCATCAAGCTGATTCCCCGACCAAGTGCTGAGTCGGGCTGGCAAGGACAGCTGGCCCCCTGCCCAGGACACGAGACCATGCCAGGGGACGTCCCAGGCACGTAGAAGCCACCCTCCCCTGGCCCTCCAGCCCCTCCTATGGCCCGGCCTCTCCTCAGCCCCCAGTGGCCTTGACCTGGGTAAAAGTTAGGTCTTGAGCCGGGGGCCCCTGGGGAAACCTTGCAACAGTCCCACGAGAGCCAGGTATCTGGTATTCCAGACACTTGCCTGTTGTCACCCAACTATGGGAAACCCTTGGCCAAGGCCCAGGTCTGAAGGCAGAACTGCCTGACCCCAGAAATCCATGTTTGGACGCACTTTCCTCTTGGTGAGTGAGTGGGAGGGAAACTGAGTCTTGCCTGAGCTGAGAAGATTCAAACTCCAGTCCCTGCCGCTGACCCTGGGACGCTTCAGCGGCGGAGGGGACAGAGAGGGACTCATCCCGGAGAGGAGCTTATTTTTAGAGGGCGCTTCGATGTCGCCTTTGCAGAGACCTAGACCCGAGGCGCTGGGGCTGGGGGGAGGCAGGGACAGGTGTTGGGGGGGTGGGATCGCCACGTGTCTGGGTTAATTATAACCGCGTGTCGGGTGTCCCGGGCTCGCCTCCTTACAAGGGCAGCCACCGACAGCCCGCAGGGGAAGGGGGCTGGGCACCCCGGACTCACGCGCCTGCAGATCCCCGGGAGCAGGAGCTCCCCGCCCTGGGGAACCTCCAGGGTTGGGGAGCGCAGTCCTTCCCGACTGCAGCGCAAGTCCAGGGAGCCCCCCGGATTACAACCAAAAGACACCTTCCCTTGCCCTCCAGGGTTCCTCCCTCCTCCCGGGTCTCCCAGGTTTCTTCCTAGGCCGGAGGGGTCTGATCTAGGGAAAGGGGCCCCTCTTTGTCTTTTCCCCAGATTCCTGGTGGGGAGGGGGCGCTTAGAAAACTTTGCCTTGGGGTCTAGCCCCTGATCTCTCCACCCACTGTCCCTTCCCACCAAGGTCAGAGTGACAAAGTTCTTGTTCCAGGCCCAGAGAACTAAAAGGAACCAGACTAGAATAGGAAGGCATGTATCATGTCAACAATTTTTTTAAAAGATTTTATTTATTAGAGAGAGAGCATGATGTTCAGGAGGAGGGGTCGAGGGGAGGGAGAAGCAGACTTCCCAGTGGGCAGGGAGCCCTGGGCTCCATCCCAGGACCCTGGACTCACGACCTGAGCCAAAGGCAGAGGCTTAACTGACTGAGCCATGCAGGTGCCCCAACAATTATTTATTAAGCACTTATGGGGGACACAGCAGAAAACAAAACCGTTGGTCTCATGGAGGTGACATTGTAGTGAGCATGAACAAGTAAGTATATGCTGTCATGGCAGGGACAACAGGGCTTTGACAGGAAATCAAAGAGAGTAAGGGGTCAGAGTGATGGCACAGCAGGGGAGGTCAGGTCAGGCCTCTAGGGGGAAGTGACATCTGAGCAGAAACCTGAGGGAGAGGTGAGAGCCAGCCATGTGAGGATCTGGAAGGGGAACAGCAGGTGCGAAGGCCCTGAGGTAGGAGTGGCTTGGCATATCTGAAAGACAGGGAAGAGGCCAGAGGACTGGAGCAGATGGGCCAGAGGGGAGAGTGGAAAGAAGAAGATGAGAGATAGAAGCAGACCTGTAGGACCCTAGGGGCCATGGAGGAGTTTCCACCCCACCGCGGATGGATGGGAGCCCCTGAGGGCTGTGAGCAGGAGAGAGACACGATCCAGCCACATCACATGCACACATAGGATCCAGCCCAGCCCCCACCCCCACCCTGGAGCCCTAGTAGCCACTTACTGGGATTTTTGACATTCCATTTGGCCATACAGCCCTTTCTGTGTTTGGGGAGTTTCCCACCCTATAACAGCCTCCTTTAGAGAAGCCAAAAAGGTCAGAAACTCAGTTTCCCAGAATCCTTTGCAGCAACATTCTAGTCATGTGACCTGGCTGAGGGACACCCCCCCCCCAACACTTCGGTCATGAGCTCTATTCCTTTATCTTCTTTTTTTTTTTTAATTTTTAAAATTTATTTTATGATAGTCACACACAGAGAGAGAGAGAGGCAGAGACACAGGCAGAGGGAGAAGCAGGCTCCATGCACCGGGAGCCCGTCGTGGGACTCGATCCGGGGTCTCCAGAATCACGCCCTGGGCCAAAGGCAGGCGCCAAACCGCCGCTCCACCCAGGGATCCCTCCTTTATCTTCTTTGAGTCTCATAGAAATAGTTGGCTTTGGGGAGCCAAGACCCCCATGGTGTATCTTTACCCCAACCCCCAACCCTCCAAAGCCTGCCAGTCTCCAAGGCCCATCCATCCTTCCTCCTACCCTAGCTCCAGACCTCTCCGCATTCCCTTCTACCCTAGCCTCCCCCTGGTCAGCCCCAGTCTGTCCCCTCCCACCTCATCCCTGCCTTCTGACTACCCTTGCTTAGAACCCATCGTGGCTTCCCAGCGCCCTCAGGATAAATGAGTATTTGTTGACTAAGGAAATAATAGTAACCTTTTCAGTCGATTGGAAACTATTCTCCCCAGTTTATGCAGAAAGGGCCTCACCCCAGATATTAGGGTCTTTCAAAATAATTGAAAGGATTGAAGGAGCACACTCTGGGCTGAGCCACTAGGAACATCTCTCACCCCCAGAACCATGCTCCATTTGGAAAGTTGAACATGCCAGAGAGAGGTTAGCATGGATGTTGAGTGGCCACTCCACAGTCCCCACCCTAACCACTATTATGGAACAGTCCCAAATATCAAGTAGTATGCTAAGTGCTTTGCATATATCAACTCATTTAACATTCCCAACAATAAAGCTCAAAAAGGTAAAATGAGGGATCCCTGGGTGGCACAGCGGTTTGGCGCCTGCCTTTGGCCCAGGGCGCGATCCTGGAGACCCAGGATCGAATCCCACGTCGGGCTCCCGGTGCATGGAGCCTGCTTCTCCCTCTGCCTATGTCTCTGCCTCTCTCTCTCATTCTGTGTGACTATCATAAATAAATTTAAAAAAAAATTTTAAAAAAAGGTAAAATGACTTACCCAAGGTCACACAGCCAGGAAAGGGGCAGAGCTGGGAATCAAATTGGCACAGGGCTGCCAAGAGTGGGTTTTCTGGCTTCGGTGAAGATAATTTACAGGCCTCTCAACAAAGTCATATTGTCACCCAAGAGTCCCTTTGCAGGTGGGTCTTCAGGCCCTGGTAATTTGAACCTACTTCCCCATGCCCTCTTTATCACCTCGTCCATCTGGTTTCAGGGCCCAAGCACTTTATGTGTATTTAACGGTGTAATTCCCCAGCAGTCCTATGAGGTGCAAATTTTACAAGTCAGAAAAGTGAAGCCCGGTGAGGTCAAGTCACTTGCCCAGAGTCACACAGCTGGGAGATTACAGAACCAAAGTGGACCAGGTAGTTAATCCCTGAGTTTGTATTTCTCATCCCTCCCCAATCCCACCTCCCTGAGCTGAAGCCCCATTTTATAGAAGATGGAAGCTGAGGCTCAAAAAAGGAAGGAGTTGCCCAAGTTGACAGCCAGTATTCTAAAATTTCAGAGTCCGTGTTCTTTTCCTTTCACCCCCAGGCCCTGGTGTTACAGAGCAACGTTGCTCCCAAACCCTCCCTTTTATCCTCCATCTCTCCTCACCCAGGGATGAGGCTGCTCTAGGGGCAGAAACTCTGGGAGGCATCCCTCCACCATGGCCCATCACCCCCGAATGCTTTCCTCATTCAACTCCCAAATTCTTCTGCCAATCCTGGCAGTCCATGATGCCAACTGGTTCAGGGAAGACAAGTTATAAATCAAAGCCAGCCCCAGAACTGGAGAACCAGAGTTAAAGACCCATCCCCTCCTCTTTCCCCAAAGGCAAGCCCATTGTAGCCCTGTAATCAACTGGATCCCCAGTCCCCAATGGTGGTGATGCTGCTGGGAAGACAGGCAAATAAAATAGTCTTTCATGACTCCCCTCCCGCCCCACTCCACTCCCTCCAAATCAATCTTTATCAACATAACTATACATTTTCCTCTAGGTGTTGCTTTAGCTACATCTTAATCTATTAATACTGGTTTTTGCATTCTCTTACTTCAAATTTATCCTTTATTTTGAAAATATTATATTTGGAGTGTATGGATGGTCACATTTCTTAATATTTTAGTCCCTTGGGGCACCTGGGTGGCTCATCGGTTAAGCATTAGACTCTTGATTTCAGCCTGAGTCAGGATCTCAGGGTCGAGTGATGGAGCCCCATGTTGGGCTCTGCACTCAACACGAAGTCTGCGTGAGATTCTTTCTCTCTCTCTGTGCTCCTCCACCCACTCACACTATAAATAAATAAATAAAATGTTTTTTTAAAAAAGAATAAGGTACTGCTTTGGAACAATTGCCAAGTGTCTTAGTCCATTCAGGCTGCTATAATACAGACTGGAGGGCTTATAAATAACAGAAATTTTTGCCATAGTTCTGGAGCCTGGAAGTCTGAGATCAGGGTGCCAGCCTGGTGGAGTGAAGGTCCTTCTTCTAGAACACAGACTTCTTGTATCCTCATGTGGAAGGAGGGATGAGGGAGCTCTATAGAGCCTTTTTTTAAAAGATATTTTTAAAAGATTTATTTATTTTTATTTGAAAGAGAGGGAAGGAAGAGGATCCCAAGTAGCCCCCTCCACCTCCAATGAGTAGGGAGCCTGATGTGGAGCTCCCTCTCACAAGCCTGAGATCATGACCTGAGCCAAAACCAAGAGTCAGACGCTTGACCGACTGAGCCACCCAGGTGCCTGGGGTCTCTAAGAGCATTAATCCTACTCATGAGGGTTCCACCCTCATGACCTAATCAC